AGGACTCTTGATCCAAGGGTTTGCCTGATGTGTACATCCTTAAATCGAAAAAAACCTTGCCCCCCCATTATGGGGCTTAAAATATCCTCGAGCGCAGTATGACGCCGCCGGGTTTTAGCGCTGACTGCATGAATGTACAGAATCAGGGAATGGAGGGATGATGTTAATTTTGTTAATATGGCGTGTAGAAGTGGTATACTCTATCCTGTTTTCTTTGTTCACTTATGCGTGTACTAGGGTAATACCTGTAGATTAACATAGCGTGTACAAGTGGTATACCTGTTAACATGGAGTTGTACAAATGGTATCCTTTGTTAACTGGAGTGTAGAAGTGGTATACCTGCTGTTAACAAGGCATTTACAAAGTGATATAACCTGTAGTTTTTAACAAAGCGTGTACAAGTGGAATAACCATGTTTGTTAACGTGGAGTGTACAAGTGTACAAGAAAACGGCGCACCACACCAACCAGCGACACCCAAAGAAAACGGGAGCCTGGTGACTCACCCAACACCCTCAGCACCCACTGCTCCAATCTTCGAGAAATGCTGATTAAGACAACAGCAAACCCAAGTGATGTTGTATTCTGAGTGTATATATATAAACACAGAGTATTTAAAATGTTTTATAGACAGAAATTAAGAGACAAGATTGTGTTAAAGTTTGTTTCTTATAGATCACCTTATATTAAAGCGAACTATAATAAAGTACTAAGCTTCAAATATATATTAACAGTGAAATGTATATATGTGTAAGAAATATTCACGAGTGTGAATTACAGTTATACCTAGACATTTATAAGTGTATGCGGGTGGGAATGAAGTGTATACGTTTATTTACGATTAATTATCTGGCAGGCTGACACAGCAAAACCTAACCATAAACTCCAGCCACATGTACGGTGTACCGAACCCCTTCATGGTCATTGACCCTTAGGTTACGCCTTAGTGAGTCAGTAGTTGTCTTACTCATTATTGCTGACTTAAAGCCATAACAAAAACTCAGCTGTTTATAATAGCAAGTACAGTGTTTTTTAAACACTCTAAGTTTTGTGCTGAATTTTCAGTATAAAACCATTAAAATGGCTTGTTTGAAAACTCAGTTCAGTCTCTTTACAGACTAAGATTACACAATTAGGAAAATCTAAATACAGTCCTGTATAGAATATCACAAGATACAAACCATAGAATTTTTGATGATCTTGAGGAGTCAATTTGAATAATATTTACACAACGTATGAAAATAATTAATTCAGACTAACACATTATTAAAATAAATTGCTTGACTCACTATCCATCTGAGGATGGAATTTAAAATGTTTTGGATACTTTTAGTGATCAACAATTAAGTGACAGGAGTACAGGCTATCTGCCATACAAAAACTCTGTCACAAGAGACCAACTATAAACAAGTGGGAACCACAAACTGTTACACCTTAACAACAACAAGTGTCCCATATACCAGCTTAACCTACATTGTCAATACCTATTTTCCAAGGTCATAATTATGAAGAATACATTATGGGTTTTTCAATCCATAGTAAATACACGACTGACATAACTTGATTGCTAAGTTCAATTATTCTACTAAAATGTCCTGTGAAGGGAGAACCCTATGAACCTGAAAAAGTCATTTCTGGTGGTCAAAGGCAATTATCAAATACCTTACTGTCTTAGCAGACAATTACTTCGATGCTGACAGGTAAAAAAAAGAATTCGACATTCAGTCTTAAATAACAAGCTTGAAGCGCACCCCAAACATATGTAATATACAGACTTACAGGCATTTTTAGAATCACATTATACAATAGTCTCATATCTTCTAGGTGCAAAATATGACCTAAGACAATGAGATTGGTTCATATCAGTGGTATTGTACAAGAAAGATGTCAACCCGACAAACTAATGAACGATTAAATATTAATGTTCAATAAACGCTATTTATCCTGTGAAGAAATACAATGGTTACAAACAATAGTTTCATGCATGCAAGCAACGAGACAAATGAAAAAATCCACAAATCCAGTGGATAAAACACCCTTCAACACAGTAAAAAAGAGTATAACTACTCATCCACTAAACCACATAATGGGAAACCCATATATGCATTTATCAAGCCTGTGAATAACAATAGACAGTAAACAGACTGTCATACATAAACGTACTCCAAAATGTGTCTTTGTGATGGACACACATTGGCAGCAGTATAGTAAGTCAATACACATCAATGGAGCACGTAAACCAACGTATTCATCAGCTTGAAAAGAATGCATCAAGTGTTTAGGTGAACACAAGGTGGAAAAATTCTACTAGAAGAAGTGTTTTAAAATGCAAGGGTATGCATCAATACAGCATTATGCCCAAATACTTTTCTGAACAGCAGCAGACTTCCACGAATCAGGAAGACAACAGCACAGCATAAAAGTGAGAGATAAGTTTAAAGCATCTGCTCTCCCGATAGCTCGAGTTGAGTTTATCTAATAAATGTACACAAAACCAATGTGCTATAACATCTATTTGATCAAGGCTCACAAATAAGTCCTTCATAATAAGATCAAGTTGCAGAAACTGAATAAAATGGTTGTATGTAGGGGTTAGAGAGGACAACCCTATGCCAAAATACAGTTTAGATATAGCTGGTTTTATCACAATTCTGGTAAACAGAACTATGACCTAAGCAAATAACTGTTGGTCTAGAAACAGAAAAAGACATGTAGAAGCTGTGGTAGTAGATGATTACCCTAAGTCTGTGCAGATCCAGGATTAAAATAACAGTTGCAGCACTGAATCAGCTAAGGTCAAGTAGCCTGTCCTGACATACAGACGGACACCAATTAGTCCAATTGATTTAATCATTGGAAGTGATTATTATCACTGTTTGTGGCAAACTCAGTAATAAACATGAGGTTCACTTACAGAAAACAGCAGGAGGCCACTTGATTATGCGGTCGGTTACACGGGGGGGGAACTGCGGTGAGGAGGGAGAGAGGGAATTAGTAGAACCACGAGGACTCTCTCTGTGAGTTGGCTTTTCACACTGTTACTGCGAAGACATCTCTTTGAGAATTATATTTTTCATGAGGTCACAGCGTAGGACCTTCATGGCGAATTACTTTTCCATGATGTTTCTGCAAGAATCCTCATTGAACATACAAAATTTGTCTAAGTTTCATTGTAACGCTCGCATCATTAAATTGTCAACCAGTATATGAATGCATTAAAGAAAATGATCAACGAAGTTCCTATACCCATAACCTGGTAAATTACAAAATAATATCAAATAAAGAGAATATTTATCCATACGAAGTGGGTAACAGATTTACTTTGATCGGAAGGAGTCGCTGTAAGAGTAGGTGGTGTAGCAGGAGTGTGACACCCAACTCATGAAGAATTAGACACATGTGCAACATCTGGGTATCTTTATTTATAGATGTTTCGCCATCCAATGGCTTAATTAAAATGTAGAACTATTAGAATGTAGAACTATATATAAAAGATGAAATAATCAGTCTTGTAGTTGGTGAAGAGCACCATAGTCTTGTAGAAAAGAAGGAAAAGATGAGCATAAGGAAGAAGAGGAAGTAGTAGTTTTGGTTGAGGTTGAGGAAGAGGTGGAGTATGAAGACAAGAAATAGGAGGACGAGGAAGATTAGGAAATGGAGGAAGAATAGGAAGACAAGAAAGAGGAGGAGGAGGAGGAGGAGGAGAGGACGAAGATGAGGGTGATGTCAGATTTCTGGTGAATTACTGTCGACCTGGTGAATAATCTTGAAATTTTTTTACTTAATAAATTCACATTATCAAATATAAATTAAAGAAATAAAATGAACAAAATTAAAGATACAGAAAGACAAGAGTAGTGAGCGAGGAGAGTGAGTTATCTGACTGATACCAGAGAGCAGGCATGAGTGAGAGAAGACAATGAGCTCTCTGTCTGATCCCAGAGAACAGGTGAGTCACAGAGCTGAGAAGACCTACAAAGAACTTTATACACCGGAAGAGCCATAACCAACATGGATCTGCTCGGACCTTCTAACCTTGACATTGATGAGGCAGCCGTAGCGCGGGTGGCTGTGCTGACACTTACCACACTACTCATGCAGAATTATATTGATGACATTGTTTATTACTTTGTTACCACGATGTATTACTTTGATACTGGGATGTATTTATTTATTTATTTATTTTTTATTAATTTGGACATGATAAATAGATGTACAAAGAAATGCAGTGGTTAAGTGTAACATGCCAAAAGCCCCTTGTATGCAGAGCATTATGGGCAGGCTTAAAATTAACTAAGCAATGATATATTCAGTGGTAAAAATTATAATGAACAAATAACAATTAAGAATAAATGAGTATTTCAAAGACAGGTTATATGGTCATTTGCTGAGTTGCTGAGCATTCAATAGAATGGAGTATTCTGTTAGGTAATGTAATTAAAAAAACAAAGTTTGACAGGGTCACAGGTTAAACATTTATGAGATACAGTTATTCAGTATTTATTTAGTTGTGGGTGAGTAAGTGATTTTTAAGAAGAGACTTGAATTTATGAACAGTGTTTCTTTTATATTCACAGGTAATGAATTCCAGATTTTTGGGCCTTTTATGTGCATTGAGTTTTTGCATAGTGTGAGATGGACACGAGGAACATCAAAGAGTGATCTGTGCCTTGTGTTATGGTCATGTGTTCTGTTGAGGTTGGTAAGGAGACGTTTGAGGAGAGGGTTATATCCGAGTTAATGTAGTAGGTAGGTACAATAGTAGTAGTAGTAGTAATAGTAGTAGGTACAATAATAAGTATGGATGTTTTGTAAGGTGAGTAAGTTTAGAGTTTTGAATATTGTTGGAGTGTGCTGCCTGTAGTGGGAATTTATCATTCTGACTGCAGCCTTTTGTATGGGTAATTAATGGTTTGAGATGGTTTTTGTTGTTGAGCCCCATGCACAAATTCCATAGGTGAGATAGGGGTACAACTTGGATATGAGGGTGTAAGACATACATGGGAGTGTAGTCCAACATGCTGAGGCCAGGCAGGACAGTAACACGGTGGCTGTCCACTTCGATGGTGTCCAGAGTGTTGTTGAAGAACCAGGTGAAGGAGAGATGTTGGTTAGGCTGGGCGTCCACACGGCATGTCAGGCGTATCTTCTCTCCTTCAGCCACTGCCACGGTCTGCGGGACGCTCACACACACTGGCTGGTCTGTGGAAGAGGAGAGCTGTGGGTGCTGAAATCTATAAAGAGGGTTTGTCTGTGGTAGGAGAGAAAGCTGTGGCTGCTCAATTCTCCCACAGATGGTGTCGTGTCTCACACAGTTGGTCTCTCTCACAGCTGGTCCAGAATGGTCCAGACTACAGCTGGTCTAGACCACAGTGGCACCTGTAATATCTCTGACCTTCTGAGTTGATCTCTAGTTATTAACGCAGCTAATAACGGTGGCTCACCAGAGAATGGGGGGGGGGAGGAGGAGAGGAGGGAGAGATGATGGGAGGAAGAATAAAAGGAGTGAGAAGGAGTGGTAGTTGGTGGAATGGAATAAGGTGAGAAACAGTGAGGGGGAAAAAGTGATTGGAGGGGAGGGAGAGTCGTCACAGTACGATACTTTATTTACAAAACTGCCCCCATCACCATTTCTTCCCGCCCCCCTAAAAACCATAGGTCAGGTCACCAAGGCATCATAAGTCAGACGGTCACCTAGGCATTATTAGTCAAAAGGTCACCGAGGCATCATAAGTCAAGAGGTTACCAAGGCATCATAGGTCGAGGTCACCAAGGCACCACAGGTCAAGAGGCCACCAAGGCATCACAGGTCACGAAGTCACTGACGTATCACAGGTCACGAGGTCACTGACGCAGCAGAGGTCACGAGGTCACTGACGTAGCACAGGTCACGAGGTCACTGATGCATCACAGGTCAAGAGGACACTGACGCATCACAGATCAAGAGATCACTGACGCATCACAGGTCACGAGATCACTGACTCATCACAGATCACGAGGTCACTGACTCATCACAGGTCATGAGGCCACTGACGAAGCACAGGTCACGAGGTCACTGAGGCATCACAGGCCAAGAGTTCACTGAGGCATCACAGGCCAAGAGGTCACTGAGGGATCACAGGTCAAAAGGTTACTGACGAATCACAGATCACGAGGTCACTGGCGCATAACAGGTGACGAGGTCACTGACGCATCACAGGTTACGAGGTCACTGACGCATCACAGGTCGCGAGGTCACTGACGCAACACAGATCAAGAGATCACTGACGTATCACAGGTCACGAGGTCACTGACGCATCACAGGTCACGACGTCACTGACGCATCACAGGTCACGAGGTCACTGACGCAGCACAGGGTCAAGAGGTCACTGACGCATCACAGGTCACGAGGTCACTGACTCATCAAAGGTCACGAGGTCACTGACGCATCACAGGTCGTGAGGTCATTGACGCAGCACAGGTGACGAGGTCACTGACATAGCACAGATGACGAGGTCACTGACGCAGCACAGGTCAAGAGGTCACTGACGCATCATAGGTCAAGAGGTCACTGACCCATCACAGATCACGAGGTCACTGACACATCACGGGTCACGAGGCCAGTGACGCATCACAGGTCACGAGTTCACTGACGCATCACAGGTCACGAGGTCACTGACACATCAAAGGTTGAGGTCATTGGCGCATCACAGGTCACGAGGTCACTAACGCATCACAGGTCACAAGGTCACTGACGCATCACAGGTCAAGAGGTCACTGACGAATCACAGGTCAAGAGGTCACTGACGCATCAAAGGCCAAGAGGTCACTGATGCATCACAGCTCAAGAAGTCACTGACGCATCACAGATCAAGAGATCACTGACGCATCATAGGTCACGAGGTCACTGACTCATCAAAGGTCACGAGGTCACTGACGCATCACAGGTCGTGAGGTCACTGACACAGCACAGGTGACGAGGTCACTGACGCAGCACAGGTCAAGAGGTCACTGACGCATAGGTCAAGAGGTCACTGACGCATCACAGGTCAAGAGGTCACTGATGCATCACAGGTCAAGAGGTCACTGACGCATCACAGGTCAAGAGGTCACTGACGCATCACAGATCAAGAGGTCACTGACGCATCACAGGTTAAGAGGTCACTGACGCATCACAGGTTACGAGGTCACTGACGCATCACAGGTCGCGAGGTCACTGACGCAACACAGATCAAGAGGTCACTGACGCAGCACTGACTGCACTAGTCACTTACCCATAACTCAAGGTCTCCTCTCTCTTCTCTTTCAAATACCAAATAAAAATATTGACAGTCATAAAAGACCAACTAAATCAGTGTTAATTCTCATAATCTGTAACAGTATTTCCATCATTCAATTATTCAGTGAGGCTGAGTAAATCTTATGTTCTAATATCGCATCCTACATTTAGATTTAGAGACATGAAATATTTAGAGGATTATACACATGACAAGTCATATGTTAGAGATAAATTTATCAGCGTGATGGTTGATGCTGCTTGTTTCTGGTCAGCTCTGAGATGTAAAGCTTGATCACAGCTGTCATACATCCCGGATCACAAGCAAGATCCACTACATTTTTTGCCTTGGTTTTAACACTGATCATCGTAGAAGAGTCAGGACTTTGAGCGCTCCGCCAGAGATAATCAAGTATTCACTACCAGCTTTCACTAAAAGTTTGCTAGGTCAGAATACTGAAAGTTTGCTTTCAGTGTGTCATTCAGCGTGTCATCATCTATTCCAACATGGACATACTTGACACTGAAACAGATTCCACCATCCATGTACTTGTTTAGCGATGTTACAGATCAGAGAACTCTCCAGTGATGGACTCTTATGGAAAGAGTAAATGATACCATGAGTCACATCAAGTATCGTTATTTATGAGAACGTGGGTACAGAATCAACCTCAACTCTGTGTTGCTAAACCTGGAGCGTCTGAAGGAAGCTGCCAGCCTTGTCTTCAACTTTGAGAATATTCACAATATTCCCCCATAGTGAGAGGATTGCTTGATTAATCTTAATGTAACAATCTTCAAGATAAGACAACTTTAGAATGAATGTATAGTCCAGCGTTTTCATATCAAATCTTTGCTCTAGCAGTTCCTGCCTTTTCTAGAAACATGATGATTTCTTTTCTTTTAACACGCAGTGTAAGACTTTCCTCGTGATAACCAGTGACTCTGTGTATGAAAGAGGAATTTACTGAATATTGCTTCAACCTCTTCACACAATATTTTGAACCTCTGGAATATGTAACTCTGCTTCGTATTTGATTAATAATTTTAACGTGAGACACATTAATGAGATCAGGGGAAGTGTCTTCATGATCAAAACAATGAGATGAAGAAAGTGGCATGAAGGGAAAGATCTGCTTCACGAAAGTTTAGAACCCAGAATAAATGCACGTCATAGACGGTGTGCCGTCAGTATACATAACAGATAACTTGGTCCACTCCACCTCCTTATCGGACACAAAATTCTGCATCGTTCTTGATGACATCACCACAGGTAGTGGTGGTTGGTGATTTAGAGAACTGATATTCCTCTGTCACAGAGCCTCCTTTCAGGTACTGAAGATAAACGTACAAGTGTTCACAAGACACATCATCTGTTGATTCATGCAGCTGAAGCACGGAGGAGGGCTTGCTCTAGTTTCTGTATATACTCTATCCTCGTTCATCTGAGAGCCACTGTTTCTCACGGTGGTGTTTGAAGGCGATATCTACTTTATCTACGTCAGACATGGCTTGATGAGAGAACCTTTCTGGCTGTATGAAACTTCTCACATTCAGCATTACGGAGCTCACTGCAACACAAGAATTTATGAGCAGATACACTGGTATAAGGAAAATGATCAACTGAATCCATTCTTTCAAAGAATTCGTTGTCTCTCCCTGAGCACTCTGCATGACTTTATTCGAGATGGTTCTTCAATTTGATTTCATGCTGTTTGTACTAAACATTGTATTGCGTGGAGCCCACTGATGCTTTTCAATCGCAAAAACTCATCCTTTTATGACAGTGTCCGTCCTGAGCCATAATTCTCTAGCCTACTAATATGACAAAAAAAAACTTGCAAAATATTTTTTAAATATAATTTTAATATCTTTTTCGAATGAGAGAAAAGCAAAATGCTAAGCTCAAGCTGAGGCTTCTTGTGCCTTACAATGGTTTTATGAAGAGTGATCAATAAGAGGGCTAGACATGTCTCTCATGAGTCAGGCAAGTTGACACATCTTTGATATGGTAATAGTACACAATACCCACAAGTTGACAAGACACATTCAGCAGTTGTGAAACTTTTCGCTTACACAGTAGGCTTCTTCAATCGAGTACAGAGAGAGCAGCGGAAGCAGTGGGGATGAAAAGACGATATAATCAGTCCATCATCCTTGAGGTGATGGAGTGATTGAGGTGGTCAGTCCTCAGGAACAATGTGAAGTTGAAGTAACAGAATGGAGACTTACAAAATTGTCAAAGTTGAGACGCAGAAAATCTTGAAGACGACAGAAGGCAAGACCCACTAGTGACTAAGTACGAATATAATAACTGAGAGGCAGTGTAACAACATACTGGGTGGGTCTGTCTCTTCCAGCGTCTTCAAGATTTTCTGCTCCTCACCCTCGGCAGTTTGTAAGTCTTCATTCTGTTATTTCAGCTTCACATTGTTCAAGACTATGGAGCTGAACTCTTCTCCAGGCTGAGGGACTCACCACTTCAGAACTACGTCTTCGTGGGTGACGGACTGACTATATCGTCTTTACATCTCCACTGTTTCCGCTGCCTCCTCTATATTCGACTGAAGAAGCCTACTGGGTAAGTGAAACGCTTCGGAATAAGATACAAAACTGTTATACATGTGTCTTACTTATCAATTTGTCACCAGTTAAAAACAGATATCTTCTGTGGCCTGGTAGGCAATGCTCCCGCCTCACACAGTGAGTGTCTGTGGTTCGATCCCGGCCGTGTGGAAACATTGTCCGTGTTTCCTTACACCTACTACCCCCGTTCACCTAGCAAGCAGGTACCTGGATGTTAGTCGATTGGTGTGGGTCGCATCCTGGGGGAAATAAGACAGAAGCCTCGATGACGTACTGACTTTCTTGGGTTATCCTGTGTGACTAACCTCCGGGGTTATCCTGTATGACTAACCTCCGGGGTTATCCTGTATGACTAACCTCCGGGGTTATCCTATGTGGCTAACCTCCGGGGTTATCCTTTGTGGCTAACCTCCGGGGTTAAGATTCCGAGCAAAATCATATCTTATCTTAAGAGTCTGTCACATTCTAAAGTGTTTCTCAGCAGGGCTCATAGAATGTTGTTTCATATACTGGGAATGTATTTACTAGTAACAAAGGCGACACACAATGAAATGTTGTGTGAGTTTAGGTATAAAAGGCAGAGAATTGTTTGAAATGATGATTAAAAGTATTCAAAGATGTTGGCTGTCTTGTGGTAACAATGGCACCAGGTCATTAACCCTCAGGGGTTAATTACCTCAGGTTCAGAATCACTGCCTTACCTCAGGTTCAGAATCACTGCCTTACCTCAGGTTCAGAATCACTGCCTTACTCAGGTTCAGAATCACAGCCTTACCTCAGGTTCAGAATCACTGCCTTACCTCAGGTTCAGAATCACTGCCTTACCTCAGGTTCAGAATCACTGCCTTACCTCAGGTTCAGAATCACTGCCTTACCTCAGGTTCAGAATCACTGCCTTACCTCAGGTTCAGAATCACTGCCTTACCTCAGGTTCAGAATCACAGCCTTACCTCAGGTTCAGAATCACAGCCTTACCTCAGGTTCAGAATCACTGCCTTACCTCAGGTTCAGAATCACTGCCTTACCTCAGGTTCAGAATCACTGCCTTACCTCAGGTTCAGAATCACTGCCTTACCTCAGGTTCAGAATCACTGCCTTACCTCAGGTTCAGAATCACTGCCTTACAGCTGTCAAACTATATTAGACAGGCCTCAAGACTAACAAATTGTACTAGAAGAGTCTTAAGATATATTATGCTAGATAAGCTTAAGCTTAGCTTATCTAACAAACTATGCTAGATGGACCTTAAGATTAACAAATTATGCTGATAGGCCTACAGGCTGTGTAGGCCTGCACTTACATCGTATCTGGAGGTGGACGAGGTTGCTGGTGGTGGTAGCTAGTGTGTTGGTGGCGGTGCAGGTGTAGTCACCAGCTGAGCTGCGTCGCACCATCTGCATCACCAAGTTCTTACCTGACACCAACACACCTGACTTACGCTGACTGCTGACACGCTCACCCTGGTGGTGGTAGTAGTGGCACTGGTTACTGGTGGTGGCAGTGGTTGTTGTTGGTTGGTGATAGTGATTGGTGGTGGTTGTGGTGATGGCTGTGGTTGATGGAGGTGACAATAGTGGGTGCTGTTAGTGGTAATGGTTTGTGGTTGGTAGTGGTAGTGATTGTAGGTTCTACATCCATTTATATATATATATATATATATATATATACTATATATATATATATATATATATATATATATATATATATATATATATATATATATATATATATATAACGCTCACCATGAGTGGGCCAAAACGACATGGGTTCGAATCCTCGGCTAGTCGCAGTGTTGTTATTGATTAATACCACTCGTTCGTGGTTACAATAATATATACACAGTGCTAGTCACGGCATTAAGCCGGCTGAGCTCCCAGGCATAATGCCGTGACGAAAATCAAAGGCCTACCATACAAGGGGTCTTTTCTCGTCAGTGCATTATGACGGGTAGCAGCCGTTAGTATGACGTCACGGCCTGCCGCCACACACTGCATTGACTCTTCATTGCTTACGTGGCTGCCGTGGTGAGAGGAAGTGTTGCACTTTTGTCTCTCATCCGCCCCATATTTTGTCCGATGTTTCCTTTGGTTTTGGGGCTATGCATGTTTGACTATGGGTAAAATGAAGTCTTTAACACCTGAAACTATAGCTCAAATCACAGGGCTTCACAAAGCTGGGCACCAGACGAAAGAAATAGTGGAGAATGTTTGTGTGTGTGAGCGTTCAGTGAGGAACTGGGTGCAGCATTTCAAGGCTGGTGGCGGTGTTGAGTTACCGTCTGCCAAACCTCGGCCTGGCCTCTCGAAGAAGATATCTGTTCTACCTTAATTGCATTAAAGAAGCAGTTAGAGAGTACACCTAAGATGACTGCTAGAGAATTGAAAGAAAAGAACCCACATCTTCTCTCAGAGGTGTCTGTAAGAACTGTTAACAGACGTGTGTCAGAACTGGGCTACAGTAGTCACTGCCAGGTTAAGAAACTGATCCTCTCCAAGCCACAGAAGACACGTAGGCTGGATTATGCAAAGAAATATCTTCAATGGAATCCTCAACAGTGGTCTGATGTACTTTGGAGTGATGAAGCAACCTTCACCGTCACCTGTAACTGTGGGGGACGTGTACTGGCCCAGAATGACCCACTAGACCCACGCTACTCCTGTGGGACCACCAAACACCCAGACTCACTCAAGGGTTGGTGGGGTGTTTCTGTGCTCAGTGTTGGTGAACTCAATGTGCTTCCCAAAAACCAGTATATGAACCAGTATAATTACCTGGAGTTATTGTGTGACAATTTACCTGAGGTGTTTGACAAGTGTGGGAATACGGATTTTATGCAGGATGGTGCACGATGTCATGCAGCCAAATCTGTAGTTCAGTGGCTTAAGTACTGTGAAGTGAGGTTCTTTAATGACTGGCCATGCAATTCCCCAGACCTAAACCCTAATGAGAACCTGGAGTTTTCCTGGAGGGGTTTTCGGGGGTCAACGCCCCCGCAGCTTGGTCTGGGACCAGGCCTCATGGTGGATCAGGGTCTGATCAACCAGACTGGTACTGCTGGCTGCACGCAAGCTGACGTACGAACCACAGTCCGGTTGGTCAGGTACTGACTTTAGGTGCCTGTCCAGTGCCTTCTTGAAGGTAGCCAGGGGTCTATTGGTAATCCCCCTTATGTATGCTGGGAGGCAGTTGAACAGTCTTGGGCCCTGGACGCTTATTGTATTGTCTCTCAGTGTACTCGTGGCTCCCCTGCTTTTCATCGGGGGAATGTTGCATCTCCTGCCGAGTCTTTTGCTTTCATAAGGAGTGATTTTCGTGTGCAGGTTTAGTACCAATCCCTCCAGGACCTTCCAAGTGTATATTATTATGTATCTCTCTCGCCTGCATTCCAGGGAATACAGATCAAGGACCTTCAATCGTTCCCAGCAATTTAGGTGCTTTATCATACTTATGTGTGCTGTGAAAGTTCTCTGTACACTCTCCAGGTCTACAATGTCTAGAGCCTTGAAGGGGGCCGTTAGTGTACAGCAGTATTCCAACCTAGAGAGCACAAGCGATTTGAAGAGAATTATCATGGGCTTGGTGTCCCTAGTTTTGAAGGTTCTCATTATCCATCCTATCATTTTCCTAGCAGATGAGGTAGATTCATTGTTGTGGTCTTTGAAGGCGAGATCCTCTGACATTATTACTCCCGGTCCTTCACATTACTTTTTCGCTATATAGTGTGGTTAGAATTTGCTGTATACCCTGACACATTTTTAATTTCCACAAATTTCCCATATCTGTGTAGTTGAAATTTCTCCTCGTTGAACTTCATATTGTTTTGAGTGGCCCATTCGAAGATTTGGTTGATGTCCGTTTGGAGTCTCGCGGTGTCTTTGATGGAGGTCACTGCCATGGTGATCCGGGTGTCATCCGCAAAGGAAGACACGGAGCTATGGCTTACATCTCTATGTCAGAAATGAGGATGAGGAATAGAATGGGAGCGAGTACTATGCCTTGTGGAACAGAGCTTTTCACTGTGGCTCCCTGAGACTTTGCTCTGTTTACTATTACTCTTCGTGTTCTATTGCTCAGGAAGTTATAGATCCATCTACCAATTTTTCCTGTTATTCCTTTATCACGCCTTTTGTGCGCTATTACACCATGGTCACACTTGTCGAAACCTTTTTCAAAGTCTATGTATACATCTGTATTTTGTTTATCCTCTACAGCATCCAGGACCTTGCCACAGTGGTCCAGTAGCTGGGACAGGCAGGAGCGACCTGCTCTAAACCCGTGTTGCCCTGGGTTGAGTAATTGATGGGTATCTAGGTGGTTGGCGATCTTGCTTCTTAGAACCATCTCAAAGATTTTTATATGGGATGTTAGTGCTATCGGTCTGTAGTTCTTTGCAATTGTTTTACTGCCACCTTTGTAGAGTGGGGCTATATCTGTTGTTTGTAGTATGTGTGGGATGACCCCTGTGTCCATGCTCCCTCTCCATAGAATGGTCAATAGTGAAACTAAGTTTACTGAGTAAGAATATCAGTTCCATCCTGCGGCTGGAGGCTGCTCTACATGAGGCATGGAATAATATACCTCCTCAAACCCTCAAAAATTTGTGTGTGAGTCATCCTACATGGCTGAGTGACGTGATTAAGCATAAAGGACGCAGCACCAAGTATTAAAACCTCAGTATGAAAATATATATATCATAATCTTTCATGGTATGTGTTTGTATTTTGGTATGTGTGTGGGGGAGGGGCGGCATAATGCCGTGACTAGCACTGTATATGCTACTCGTGAGGCTAGTACACCAGACGGGTATCGGAATAAAATTAGCTCAAAGGCACCCACACCATCGTATGTCCTCGGATGACGGTAAAACACCTAGCTCTGCTGGGTGCGTCATTCTTGTAGGATTGCGTGGTCCGTGGGATAGAGCGTGATGTGTGATTTTCGCTCACTATGAGGTGGGCCAAAACGACATGGGGTCGAATCCCCGGCTAGTCGCAGTGTTGTTATTGATTAATACCATTCGTTCTTGGTTAAAATAATATATATATATATATATATATATATATATATATATATATATATATATATATATATATATATATATATATATATATATATATATATATATATATATATATGTCGTGCCGAATAGGTAAAACTGGTCAATTAGCAAGAACACCTCTAAAATTAAGTCCTTTCTAAAATTTTCTCTTATACGTTTAAAGATATATTTTTCATTTATATTAATGTAAAAATTAATAATCTTGTACAAAAAGAACCCTAGAAAACTTACCTGATCTTATTATAACAAGCGCAATTTAATTTAGCCTAATCCAACTAAATATATTTCAGATAAGTTCACAGAAATTTAATAATAAACAGACACAATAAAATATATTATTTTCGTTAGGTTCAGAATGATTTTTGCGAAATTATTGCATACACAAATTTTAACTTATCCTATATAGCAAGATGAGTGTTGCTATTTAGGCCAAGATCGCAAGTTTTACATATTCGGCACGATATATATATATATATATATATATAATATATATATATATATATATATATATATATATATATATATATATATTTTATTATTATCACACTGGCCGATTCCCACCAAGGCAGGGTGGCCCGAAAAAGAAAAGCTTTCACCATCATTCACTCCATCACTGTCTTGCCAGAAGGGTGCTTTACACTACAGTTTTTAAACTGCAACATTAACACCCCTCCTTCAGAGTGCAGGCACTGTACTTCCCATCTCCAGGACTCAAGTCCGGCCTGCCGGTTTCCCTGAACCCCTTCATAAATGTTACTTTGCTCACACTCCAACAGCGCGTCAAGCGTTAAAAACCATTTGTCTCCATTCACTCCTATCAAATACACTCACTCATGCCCGCTGTAAGTCCGAGACCCTCGCACACAAAACCTCCTTTACCCCCTCCCTCCAACCTTTCCTAGGCCGACCCCTAACCCGCCTTCCTTCCGCTACAGACTGATACACTCTTGAAGTCATTCTGTTTCGCTCCATTCTCTCTACATGTCCGAACCACCTCAACAACCCTTCCTCAGCCCTCTGGACAACAGTTTTGGAAATCCTGCACCTCCTCCTAACTTCCAAACTACGAATTCTCTGCATTATATTCACACCACACATTGCTCTCAGACATGACATCTCCACTGCCTCCAGCCTTCTCCTCGCTGCAACATTCATCACCCATGCTTCACACCCATATAAGAGCGTTGGTAAAACTATACTCTCATACATTCCCCTCTTTGCCTCCAAAGACAAAGTTCTTTGTCTCCACAGACTCCTAAGTGCATCGCTCACCCTTTTCCCCTCATCAATTCTTTTGATTCACCTCATCTTTCATAGCTCGATCCGCTGACACATCCACTCCTAAATATCTGAATACATTCACCTCCTCCGTACTCTCTTCCTCCAATCTGATATCCAATC